CAAATAGGCCTGAGTGCCAGAAAAACAAAAGGAAGTTTTTCTTCTCTCAGTGCTCAGTTAACCTGTGGAACTCCTTGCCAGAGGATGCGGTAAAGGCTGGAACTTCAACAGGGTTCAAAAAAGAGCTAGATGGATTCATGGAGGTTAGGTCCATCAATGGCTATTAACCAGGATGGGTAGGAATGGTGTCCCTAGCCTCTGTTTCTGGAGGTGGGTGACAGGAGAGGGATCACATGAAGATTCCCTGTGTTGTTCACTCCCTCTGGGGCATCTGGTATTGGCCACTGTCGGCAGACGGGATACTGGGCTAGATGGACCATTGGCCTGACCCAGTGTGTCCGTTCTGATGTTCTCTTTCAGACCTCCCAGAGGAGAGCTCTAGTCCTTTCATGCGCTGCTGTCACTGCTGACACCAAGACAGCCAATATTGTATCCAGCTGCTGCTTTACTGAACTCCCTGGATGACTATTAAATGCCAGCACCTGATGCCCCTTCCACTGTATCGCTCCCAATGTTCCCTGTAAGCTGAGCGCTTGGCCAGCAGCCAGTTTCTATTGGTGGTGCACATCTGCACATGCTTGGGTGCACAGAATAATGTTTATTCCACACATGGATGGAAAAATCGGTTAATTAGATGGGGAACATTTGCCAGTGATACTGTGACAGGCTGCTCAGGCACCAGGACACATGCCAGCCCTGGGAGAGAGGCCCCGATCAGAGGTGTGTGAAATAGCCACAACAGCGTGCAAAACCTCATTGCAAACTTGGCTGGAGATTGCTTAGGAAGGCACATTTTTCTTGCTGCCCTGTTCCATGGAAGGGGCCCAGGTTCGGTGCAAAGCCGGGCCCCGTTTCTGATGCGAGAGGATGGTTTTCTCATCAGAGGGAAGGGCTGAGTCCCATTAATTTTCCTTCGAGTTTTCAAATGCAAAAATAGCTGAAAATGGAAACAAACTCCAGAGCGGGGAGCGGAGGCAGCAAAAACTGCAAAGCCAGCACAAATGGCTGGGGGGTGGGGAGGGGAGGGAGATATTCAAACCAGTGAATCCCAAGGTTGCTGCCAAACATCTTGTCCAGCACCTGGCGAGAGATGAAGATGACGGCTACGCTCTGCTTCCCTCCGCCTTCCGGTCCGATTTTATATCCGGCACAAGGAGCAAGGCAGGTCTGGGTTGCGGACCCTCAGTGGAGGGGCGGGGTGGGGCAGGGGGAAGGGCAGAATTTCCACATGGGAGCACCGGTCCTGGGAGCAAACAGCCCACGGGGGTGCCTGGCAGGAGCCATGCGAAAAGAACCAGCCTGTGGAATCGTTTTAAAAGGAACGAGTCGGGACCCGCATGAGGAATGGTTGCTGAGGGGCGCTGCGACCTCGTCCTCCCCACAGGAACTAACCCAGTGAGTGCGGCAGGGGTTTAGGAAAGGCTGTCCGGCTGCCAAACGGGTGTGTGGCGCCCCGCGGAGCCGACAGCCTCCC